CATTTAAGTAAAATAATTCTGATATATTCAGTAAACTTGAAAACCGTAGTATTCTTTGAAAATTATGAATTTTTTGATGGTAAGCAAATTAACAAAATTGTAATGATAAGTCAAGTATTAAGAGTACATTGATAAGCATGTTATCCATATAAACATATATTTATCCATTGATTAAAATCCTACATTAAATAAGATCCATAGATTCTGTTATAACTTGTGGCTTTGAGTCCTGTAATGCACAACGTAATGATAATGCTAATTAGAGAACAGTGATTTATCGACCGGACCAATGATACGTAAACCCCATACGAGCTGTTTATAGTCTTTATCAGTCCTTCTTCCTTCCTATCCTTGTTTGTTAAGTCCAGAACAACAATCTCAGCCTTCGCAATATGAATCATTTATTTCAATCATACTGGGTTTATATCCAAACCAAACGGACCATTAAATAGAAAATAACATTTGTACAAGATCTAGACGAAAGTGGCTGTAAATGTAGGAGATGGTAATTGATAGACTGGACATAGTAAATCGTATAATAATAGTTCATAAGTCAAAATAAAGCTTATAATAAGAGGAACTCGAATATGCATAGTTTAGTCATCACCTAACAATTATACAATATAAATGTATGTATCGTATTAGTACAGTAATAGATTCCAACAACTACTATTCATTATTTTCATCGGGATATAACAGATTTATAATTACTGGACTGAAATATTAAACACTTTTGTTGTGAAATATTTAATAAATCACACTACTTTTATTATTTGTATTACACTTATTTAAAGTTAAATCTTTTTATAAACGAACATGTACTTGAGAATGATTCAACTATTTTCATAAATTTTCCCTTTCCTAACATATTTTCTTATCAATAAACATAACCTAGAAATTATTAACTAATTAAGTATTTTTATTGTTAGTCAATATTACCTTACATAACTTAAAATGTTCTACAATTACTTTTATTACACTACATTATATGATTGTTTTCTTATCATAAAAATGTATTATTAAATTAATATACTTTATAAGTTAATGATTGGCAGATGATAAAGTGATTTTTTCTCTTTTTTTTTGACTAGATTTAATTGAATGTTGAAAGTGCATTATTTGACATTGTTTTCTTTATGTTTTTTAAAAGTGATATTTATACACATGCAGTTGCTTGATTGACATTATGGTTTAAAATAGTAATTTAAAAAAATTACATGTTTTTTTATAGAAAAAAAAATTGTATTTTCATGTTTGACTCAAAATTCAAATATTTATTTAAATGATAATTTTCACTAAAAAAAAATCGTTTTTAGACTCCATGGAAAAACAAACGAAAACAAACGAAATATATTAATGACATAGATCTGTTTTATTAAAATTAAAATTCAATTAATATGATAATTACAATTAGACAGAGGTTTTGTGGAGATTGTAGTAATTTAATAATTAAATTCATGAGTCAATTGAAACTAGATCACCACGGGAAATCTGGAAGCAATGGACGACTGTTTCAATCTAGTACAGGACTCCTCAGTAGTGTGCATCCAAGATCCCACCGCACAAAATTCGAACCAAGGACCTATTTTCCGTAGATCTAGTGGAAAGCCTTGAACAGTGGAGTTCAACCGAGTCCGTTGCAAGATGGTAGCTTACTTATGACAACGGTGGACAGTGGCGAAATTTCATGGATTAGTTGAAGTTAGACATTAACACTGCTGGATGTCAACTCAGTGGTCTACAGGTTAAGTGTTTGCGCGCAAGACTGATAGGTCCTGGGTTCGAATCTCTCTAAGTGGGATCGTGGATGCACATTGCTGAGGAGTTTCACATTAAGATGAAACGTCCGCCTAGTGCTTTCGGGTTCTCCATGGTGATTTAGCTTCAATTGACTCATGAATTCAGTTATTAAGTAATGATTACAGTAAAATAAATTAGTATATCAAAAATACCACTAAAGTTGACAGAAACTGTTTACAATCCAAATTGATTTTTAATAGAAACACTAAATTGAATTTTTTGGAAAATAAATAGATGAATTACCTTAAACTTAATCATATTCTTATTGTAGTTTAATTATGTAGTTAAAAATGTAAGTAAACCAGTTAATGTTGATGTAAAATAGCATTGGTTGAGGTAGCTTGATTATCTGTCATGTATGTCTAGATATAATGGAACTTGAAGTTGAATGCTAGTTTAAATAGTAGAAGCTTTATTGTTTTATATTTACAGAATTGCACAAATTTATAAACTATTCAATGAGTGATCGGAATAATGTAATGAAATTCTAATATAAACCAACTATTTGAGACGTTTCATTGTATAATTTTAAATTTATTACAGTAGAATATATTGACAAGGTTTAATCACCATTTAATAGAAAGCTTTTAACCGGATCCTTTAGTGACTGATAAATTCAGTGTTTTAAAAAAGTAGAACAGAATAAAGCACTATATTATCCATGTTAATGTAGGTAGGTGAGTAGTTTCAAAGTTCTTAACGAAAATATGTGACTAAAGGTCGAGAATACAAATGAAGGTTTAGTTAATCAGTTTTGTTGGTTGTATTGAAAGTTAAATATTTCTTATATTAGATTTGTAAAGTTATAATGGTTATCTAGAATGTTAACATCAACAGGGTTTTACTGAAATATACTTATTTCAATCTTTTTTGTCCCCAGAAGTATTGTAACCATTGGGAACAACAAGTCCATTTCACAAAACTATTGCAAGGAGAAATATGAGAAAACATTCATTCAAACATCTAACTACTTGAATATTGATATGATTTTGCAACTAGTCAATTTTTGTTGGTTGAAATTTCTATGATCAGTCATTTTTTTAAGATAAAGATGTCTTTCCTTGCTTCTATTCATGTTTAATTCATATTTCCAGATCCTTATAAGCAAACTCCCTTAGTAGACTGGATTTATTAATATGACATTGTGTCCTTCTATGACTTAAAAATATATGCATTTTTTATTCATCTTAAAGAAATGGAACTCAAAAGTGTATCAAAATCGATTTTAAATTGTCGATATCCATTGTTGCATAAAAAACCCAGCTGACGTCTTTCTGGAATCAGACCGGTACTGGATTTTTTATAATTAATTAAATCAAATATTCATTTTGAATCCCATTAATTTTTCACTCTGATGCTAGTCAAGACGAAATTATTTTTATTTATGTGCTGAAAAGGTTTAAAGTAGTTGTATGTGTGTCTATTTGAAGACAATTTTTGTCGAAAACTGATATTAACTAACAAGCGTTTGATCAATGATTATTTGTATTGGTTTATAGCATCTCAGTGATGTGCAGAGAATATCACACATGTAATTATACCTGTAACCATTAGATTTCAGTATAATTGTCTAGCTGATCATTATTTGGTGGTCCACACTTAGCACTTCACAGTATAGCGTACTTCACATTAAATGTTTTTAGTTGTTACTTATTAGGCCGGTATTTCAAAACTAGAAGAAAAACTGTGGTGTTTCTAGGTTGATTATTTCGTAAAGTTTGGTCGTAAAGTAAACTGTTATGCATAAAAATGTTCTAATATAATAGTTTCACGGAAACAAGATAGATTAACCTCATGTATTCTTGTAAATTAAGGTAATTTAAAATTCATGTACTTACATTTACATAGTTTTTTTGCCATCTTTTTCTAGTTTGTTACAAGGAACTAAATATACTAACATTATCTTGAAATATTAAAATGAACACTCGCTAAGCTGAATGACTGAATATCTGGCTACAACAGCGAGAATGATTTTATTCAACTATAACCTCAAAGAAATATAAAATTTTATGGATGAGTCTACTTTTATCATTTTGTAAATAATTTTAATTAGATGTTATCGATTTGAGTATTTTGACACTTCATATCAATGTATTAAAAGTAAACTATAGATATTTAACACGGAAGAGTCAAAATAATGATAATAATTGAGATTGAAAATGAACATAGAGATCATAGTTCAAAAGGCATGAATGATGTTGAGAATCGAAATATCTTGATTTATTCAATGCTCAAGCTTTTTGATTTAAATTAATAATGTGAGTATATTTGAACTACCACAGACACTTTTCAGCATTATCGGTTGAAGACTCTAAGTATATATTAGAATTATCTAGTGAATTACAATACTTCTTTATGGAGCTCAATCCAACATTGATTAATTTTATGGATTGATATTGTTTTATAGTTTCTCTGCTCGTATGTTTTTATGCTCTTAACACAATCATTAGTAATCATAATAACTGAAATTGTTTTTTATTCAGTCTTTCAAGTACGGTTTTAATGTTCTGCACTCGTTTTATATAGTGAAGTTTCTAGTTTATGTTAATTAATAAGAAGGAAATTATATTTGTTAATATCATAATAATACAAATAAAAATATTGGAAGAACATCAAGTTAAATGTTTATTTACTACTAATGTAATCGTATACACTTTAAAATCAGTAGTTTCTATAATTTTTCTTACTGGATTTGTAGTTAAATTGACTGAGACTAAGAGGAATGTTAATTGAGAACTTAACATCTAAAATACTTTGAACATATGAATGCCTGCTAATTTAAAGTTATTTGTGTGTGTGTGTTGTGTCATCAGTTGTATCAGAATCAGTCAATTTGTCTAGTATTTTTTATATATGAAGTATATAATTTTAAAAAAAATGAAATTTCATAAATATGTAAAGATGATTAATTATAGTTTTGAGAGACATGTAGTTACACTTAGCTCCCTTTGTTACTAACTAACTTACTGTTTATTACTAAATCAAAAAAAGAATTAATTTTTACTGTATGTTATGAATGTTTAATTGTATGTTGTTCTTGTATCACGTGATATATTGGATTAAAAAAATAAAAAAAATTGACTATTTACTTTAGATATTTTACACTATGCAACTTAACTCTAGATCAACTTTTATAATTAATCAATCAAATTATTGTTAGAATGCAATTTTAAGAGAAAAAGAAATATGAGCTACGAAATGGAATGGTTTATTAGAAAGAAGAAAGTATATTGTCAGTTGATTAAAGAAGCATGTATAAATTAGATCAAATGTTTTGACATATGATGAAATTAATTTCATTGGTTCTGAAAATCTATACCATAATCTACGTAGATATGTTTACGATATTCTTTTATATGATTTACAAGGGTAAATAATAAAGCTGATTACAATTACGTTAAAACATGTAACGACTTAATAAATGTGATATTTATAGTTAAAACGGGATCGTATTACATTTTGTTTTAGCCGTTAAAGTTTTTTGTTTATAAAATGAAGTATTAAAACTTAACATTTTGGATAAAAGTCAACATCTATGGAGTTGCAAATATATCTTATGAATTTTAAGCAGTAATAGTATGCACAAATGATAGTTTCAGAGTATAATAGGAGAGTGGTTTAAATATCGAATAAATCTTTACAGAGTGATGATATAGTGGAAGCGATAAATCAGTCAGGTGTAATGACCTACTTTTATGAAGAGAACAAGATTGGTGTAATGGAAACATTTATTATTATAGCCAACTGTACCAGTAAGTGTTTTATTGTACCTTTTTGTTTAATTGTATCAAAAACACACTTTTTCCGTTGGTTGTGACCTTAAACTTACGCAAGTATGCACGGTAGTCCCGCCTGTAAACTTTGGCACGGTCTCGGTATTATTTCGATACCACGAGATCATCAACAAATATATCCTAACTACAATCTACAACTATCCTCTTAATATTTATCCTACGGAGGGATTTTACCTGATAAGTGGCACGTAATCGATTTGTAATGGTGATCATAGTCAACTGCGACTCGACACTAATACACAGGTATGTTATCTAATTTTATATAATAATAATATGTCATATATTCCTTGAAAATCGAACTGTTAGACGAGAATTCGACTATCAGTGTAGAGATGAAGTGAATACATTACAATGTTTAGAATAATATTAATTATACAATTTTCGCTCATAAATGCTATAATTTACTGTGAAATATGATAAAGAAATAATGTTACTGATTCATAGTTTAAAGTTCTATTATTTTATAAGGTAAGGTTGGTTTTGTATTGAAATTGTCATAATCATTTATTTTTCAGATGATCTTTGGATATCAATTGCACAAATATAGAATACGTTTAAATGCTAGTTGAATTATTCGTTTTTTTGGAATAGTTATATAAACTCACTTATGCTATATAAACTGTGTAGGATTTCAGTAGAACATATTCTATGCAGCAAAACAGCTTTTTATTTTATATTAAAATAGATGGACCTGAAAAACAGACATCTGCATAATTAAACTACTTGAGTTTGCGAGTTTTTTTTATAAACTAAAAACGTCACCTTCTTTACCATAGATGATAGGTTTATGAATAAGAAGGGCAAAGTAGCTCAGGTGGATGACATCAGAGAACAAAACACCACCAAAAGGGCAAAGTTTCTAGCTTAAACTTGGTGATTTAATGTTCCCTCTAAAAATGTAGTATTTTTTAAAGGGTGAATAAACTTATTATTATCTTTCATTGCACATTTTTGGGAAGCACAAAATTATAAAAGTTGAGAGCGATGCAGTTATTCATATGGTGGATCACTGAATGTTAAAACGAACTTATTGGGAATATGAACTATTGAAAAATGACTCAGTAGCTGATTGATATGATTCCTATTGCTACATATAAATATCCGAATTTATATGCCATATGAAGGTTTGATTGTGCATTACTGGAATAAAAATCAGCTTAGCAAGTTGATAAGCCTAGATTTGTTATGTTACTGTTATACGCCGATGGTTAATTGTTTATCTCAGTTGTTTTCATTAACTAAAGATAAATCAATTTTCGAAATATTTTCTGGCATAACAGCTACGTAGATGAATTTGAGACCAGGAGTTTTTTTATCATTGGGATTATTAGGGTTGTAAATGATCTGTGTTTGTTATGTTGAAGAGCTAACTTTCATCATACTATTTTCATAATTTTTTTTGTATGGAATTATACAATAATGATAAGAGTGTATTTCCAATAATTCTATACATATGTTTTCATCGTTATTTGCTTGATGGTCTTGAGATGGATATCAAATTGATTATTCATTCTTACTAATAAAAACGTATGGGGAATTAAAGATATTTTTGACTGTTTTAAATGTTCAGATGACAGGACTGTTCAATGTAGTTTAAATACGGAGATATGTGAAATGTAACACAAAGGTTATTAAAGATTACAGTGAATTTCTAAAGGTTTTTGCTTCTTATTAGTCAAGGAGGAGTTGTATGAGACTTTCAAAAAAACCTAATAATCTTATGTCAGATGTACTGGCAATATTAAATTTTATTATCAAAAGAGAAATATACGCTCCCAGTTCTCACCTGCTTGATACTTTTCCGGTTGAGTACAATATTTCAGAATTACGTAGCTAATTTTCTTGATAATCTCGAAATATGAGTGAAGTATGATATGCATAAATGTATATATACAAATATGAGAAGACTTACCCAATTATAAAAATCCCAAAACATCCCGCCCATGTTAATATTCCTGTTTTGTAGGTCACAAGAGTTGTAACATCTTTATGACAGTATGGACACACGGTATTTACTGGATCTGGTCCGGGAACAAAATGTGAATCGGTGATTATCGGACAAGGCTGTTCCACAACTACCGTATCTAAAAAAGGTTCAAAATTTGTTCATTTTGATTACCAAGTGGATAAAGTATATAACTGATTGTCATAAGTATAAAGTTTGCTTGTTGATGAGTTCTGTACAAGTGATATCAGAAAAATGAGCTCACTATGTTTGTATTTTATTTAGAAGGAGAAATCTTTGGGGAATTAATGTTAAGTGACGAATTATGAATAAGGAACCAATAATTGTTTTTCTTGGTTCTATAGTAAAATACTGGGGACTGTAAAAAATAGAGATCGATGGTTAGAAACATTGATGTGTTTAGTAGGATATTTTAACTGGAAATAGTAAGTCACAGAGGTTATTTTTGCTGCATTGTCTTTAGTTCATATGATAGAATTTCTACAAAAAATCAGATCTACGAATTCATCGGTGAACAAATAAGATTTATTTTGGTAAAGTTTGATAACAGACATTTAACTGAAACATCGGATTTAGCGTTTCTGTCAAAATTCTTATTTTTATCTTGAGGAGATTGACCGTATTTATGCTCACAAAGTAATTTATAGTCCAGTATAGAATCGTTAGTACAGTAATGTAGTGAAACCCGAAAACTGCTAATAATTTCTTATTTGATTGTACAAGTGTTTATTTCAAGATGCAGAAGTTATGTATGGGCAAAAAGCTTATATGTTGCAGAATGCTGAAGTGTAAATTGATCCCATAATGAATTTCATATCTGTACACACAACTGCCGATTAGTACTGTATCTTGAGTGTGATAAAAAACGCTAATTGTTGGACAGAACAGAAATGATTAAAAAATGTTGTCAGTAGTTATAACGAACAGGAAAATAATTTGAAAATAACAGTCACATTAAACTGAAGTCAAATGTAAAAGCGTGGGAAAAGTTACTAGTCTACTATAAAAAGGAATGATATTTTTGGAACACGTTTGAGAAAATCAGCCCTCATCATTCGTTAGTCATGCATTACTTGTGAAAAGTCAGCACAAAATATTCCCTATAACTGCGGTCACTTGTATATATAATCAAGTCATTGTTTTCTGGAGAATTAAGTCTGATTTTAGGCATCTAATCAAACATAATTTTGATGTAACTCATCTTCTATCTTTTGTTTCACTTTACTGGCAACATATGGGTATATTAAAGCTGAGAATTGTATGAGCAATACAAGTTTGAATTATGAACGAGACCTGTCATTTTGTAAATCTCATTTATTTATTGATTTAAATACATAAATATTGGTAAACGAAGACACTATGAACAGAAGCACAGCAAAACTCTAGAAACCGAACAGACTACGCGATGAATCTAAATAAAATTTCACTATTTCTACTCAGTCATGAGAAGTCAACAAAATCCTGATAACAGCATGACGAAGCAATTTTTTTTCTAGTCTGTGATTAGTTGAGTAAAGTTTGATACATTTGTTCATAGATTAAGGTCCCAAAACCAAATTAGCACAGGAAGATTAAGTTATAAGGCGAATATCAGGACAGAAAAATGATAATTTCAGTGTTATTACAAAAGAATAGGCGTCGAAAATATTATTTAAGGAGAAAGAATGAATTTAACGGGTAAAATGAATGGGACAATTCCTATATTCAACATCAAAAAGGAGACAAAGAATGGATGTTTTGTGCCATAACAACTGGTTATAAGTCATATCACCCAGCGCTTTCAACCGTTGGCCACGATAATTCCAAAAACTACAGTATGGTAATCTACATAAAAAAACATGGCTTAGTCCAAGCATCATTGAATTAATAGAATGAAACCACATCTTGGTCAGAGGATCATTAACTTTATTTAAACCTGATCCTGAAATGACAAATGTCGAGTGTCGTGGCAAGCAAAGGTTGAGGGTAGGTAATGCATGTCCTGACCGTTCCATTCGAAGAAGGGTTATCGCTTCATCGACTAATTTTTCATGTCTACCTAGTGTCCTGCATCTGACATCGGTATTTTTGAACCAGCGGTTTTAACACACGCAAGCAATTCGCCCAAGGTGTGTATGATGAAATACAAATATTTTGTAAATGATGTATTCACTTCATGGTTCTCAGAATCTACCAGGATATTCTATAAAGTTGCATTAAAATACATTTGTTTGTCCCCACCCGTGTTATCGTTTACAACGCTGGTAACTTACAAATATCCCGTACTACCGAAGACCGTGTTTCATAGACAGACCAGAAAAAGGATATTTTGCACAGATCAATAATGTTCTGGTTATCATACGGATTTCTTCCCCATGTCACAAATGGAATAAATTACTAGAAGCCAAGGTCTTTGATTTAATTCTGTAATTTAACCCAACATCTACTTACTGGGGTTGATGAAATTTCCAAGGCAATTTAAGTGAGGGACTTAGTACGTTATCCTCTATTATTAGTCTATACCTGACTAAGAAAGTCCAATCTTACCGTTTTAATTAATCAGAAAAGAATTAAAGGAAGGTTGATTGACATGTAATCGATAGGAAAAGCAGCTTGGTTTAGAAAAAGTTCAAATATGTCGTACGGGTTTTCATCATATATTCAAGGTCATTACTTGTATTTAATGTGCACATTATGAGGTCTTCACCAAAAGACTCGGGTGTCTTTGATTTAATGAATCTACTCGTCATTTAAAACCAAACAGAAGTTTTGCTGGATAAAATCTTGAAAATAACTATCACTTCATCTTGGAATTTTTTAAATTTCAAACTAAAACCTGATAAAGTTTATATCGTAGAATAGATCTTCTAATAAGCTCCACACGAAATATTTCACGAGACATTACTTTTACAGGCATTTAATTTTACAATATTTCAGTGGCTGGTTGCATCAGTGGAACGTAATTGTACATTGTTTAGATCGGTCAATAAACGCTTGAATAGCTGAGTAAAGGTAGCCCCAACTAACTCATAGCTTTGTCTTAGTCTATGGATAACTTTTAGAGGTAGAATTTTACAAACAGATTTGATTAAGAACTCTCTCAGGGCCTTTAAATATTGACTCAAACAAGTATATGCTGTAGTTTGCTCATGTTTGTTCGTGTTCTAGTCTTTGAATGAGTTTAACAAGTATAAAAGGTGGAATGGTTAATAATTTCTGAAGGATGATAGACTTTTTAGGTAAATAAGAAATCTAACCCAAGTAAGGAATTTGCCTGTTGTTTAAAAACCCACTCTCCCGTTCATAAATATTTAAGCCTGGAGATAAAGTAAGTCATTTTGAATCTGACTGTTATTTTACTGAGAAAAAATTATCACCAGTTGGAAATATTAACTCACCTGAAAATGTCTTTTATGTATTTACCATACTTTTCTGTCACCTCAAGAAGAGCAAAATAATAACAATTTTATGAGCCCAAGCAACTTCATTGTTCCTCATACACTATAAAATCTGGCATTAGGTATCTAGAAATTATGATTCACTTTGAGAGATTGCTGAATTTTATTTTCTAATTAATAATTCTACGACAGAACACAAAAGCGCAAAGGAGGGGGACTAGCTCTATTCATTAGGAATGCTATCCCATTTGCCATTATCGTTAGTGTATCCAATGAGAGTGGGACGTGTGAATTAGTTAGTTGCCGCTTGAAATGCAAGGGACAAGAGCTGCTGATTGGTTTGGTCTATCGCAGTCCAAGCTGTGAGGCAAATGAGATACTGTTAAGCAGTCTCAATACTTGGTCCCAAAGTGGTCGATGTCTAATCCTAGGGGACTTCAATGCACCTATGGTAGACTGGGAAAATCTGCGAACTAAATCGTCGGAGAATTCCTTCGAGCAGAAACTAGTTGATGGGGTTATCACATGTGCCCTAGTGCAACATGCACTCAGCATCGTTAATAGATTGGACAATAGACTCAGATTCCTCCATTGAAACGGCCTGGGACGCATTTCGAAATTCATACTTAAAAGTTACCACACCCCACATCCCTTGGACTATACCAAAGGGGCCGAAAAACTGACCACCATGGTTCAGTAGGGAGGTCCGTATCCTTCTTCGTAAGAAAAGGAAAATGTGGGATAGATTTAGGTTACTGGGGACTGATGAGTCAAAATCTCAGTATCGAAAGGCTCGGAATACTTGTGCCTCGACCCTCCGTAAGTCTAGAAAATTGTACGAAGGAAAACTTGTTAAGGAATCTATAGAATGTCCTAAACGCTTGTATCCCTATATAAACCAAAGGACAAGGAGAAAAGGAAATATTCCTGCACTATGGGGAGACAGTACTGCTTCATCATTAGTGGAGGACGACTTTGGTAAGGCTCAAGTGTTCTCGAACTAATTTAGCAACGTATATACCATAGAAACGCCCTTCCCGTCAGCATATACAGATCCCCCCATACATACATTGGATAGCGTGACCATTAAAGAACTCGATGTCTTTGGTCTGCTAAATAAGCTTGACATAGGCAAATCCACGGAGCCCGATGAATTACATCCTAGGCTACTGAAGGAATTATCTAACTTCGTTGCAGGCCCTTTAAGTACATGCTTTAACCTTTCCGTTACGCAGGGTTGTTTACCAAAAGACTGGAAAAACGCCATAGTAAGTCCTGTCTTCAAAACAGGTACGAAACACAAATCTGAGAACTACCGCCCCGTTAGCCTAACTAGTGTGGTTGTTAAACCTTAGAAAAGATTATTCGGAAGGAGCTGTTTAAGTACCTTAATAAAAACCGGATTCTTTCGGAGAAGCAGCACGGTTTCAAAGTAGGTTATATTTATCTCACTAACTTATTAGTGGCTCGTGAAAGCTGGTGTGCTCTTAAGGACCGAAAGCTACCTGTAGACGTCGCCTTCATTGATTTCAGTAAAGCTTTTGACAAAGTTACGCACAACCGGCTGTTAAGAATGTCGGGATTGAAGGCAATCTATTGATGTGGGTAAAAGACTTCTTAGTTGGGCGTCAACAAAGAGTTCGGGTGAACTCAAAGTTATCTAGCTGGGAAACTGTGCTTAGTGGAGTGCCCCAGGGTACAGTTTTGGGGCCAGCGCTATTCCTCTTGTATGTAAATGACATTCCTCGTCTCCTATCATCATCGGTCTTGCTATATGCTGACGATGTCAAGATATGGAGAACGATACGATGTGAGGGTGATAGCTTAGAACTTCAAAATGACCCAATATGCCCTCATTTTTCTTGTCTTCCAAAACAGGGAATTTACGAGGACACTCCAAAAAAGTTCATAAGCCGAGAACAAATTACTTGTCAGCTGACTATCGACTTTCCCATCGAATCATCAACGAGTGAAACTCACCACCTCAGCACGTGGTTGAGGCTACATCCGTCGACTCTTTCAAGAGAAAGTTGGATCAACTGAGAGACCACCATTGCCAGGACTAACATAGGCCATCAAGCCTCCTGTCCTTCCCAAACTGAAACTGAAACTGTTTTACGGCATTTACAAGACCATAAACTGTAAGCGAAGCTTTTGGAATGTAGATAAAAGGTACTACCCTATGTTTTTTGTGTTGGGGTATTTCATGTGTTGAATTTATTATTTCACTTTTGAGTAGCTTTCAAATCTTTGTTGACAAATGTGCTCTAAATATTTGAAATATCATATTATTTATCTTGATGATACATAATTCATGGTTGGATGTGGCAATTTCAACACCACGATACTATAGTTATGATACACAGAATGCAAACAAGATGGGAGACCACAGTGTTCTGAAGAAACAAATATGTTGATAGGAGGAATAGACTGTTGAACTGAGGATTACCAAACTGATGATATAGATGTAGAGAGGTGTATCACATAAACTGGTCGCAGATATGTTCTTTATACTTAAACAAGTGCTCTTATATCGTATTAAAGCTCAAAAGACTGACGTTGACGCTAGATAGAACGAATCATTAAAGGCTTTGTGATCTGTCGCAACCATTCCGAAAAACAATAATGATAGTCAACATCAAAATTTGGACGAAAATAGCAATTATTACAATCTGACCATGATCGATATGTCTTTTTAAATAAACAGGAGGTAAAAACTACAACATTTTCATGCCCATCGGGTTCTGATTTGAAATATTTGAGTAACATCCAGATATATCACTTACTCCAATAATTCTAAGGGTGAAATCTTAAGAGTTTAATTATCGAAAGACAATCACGAACTTTAAATATATTGTCAGAGACGTGTATTGTACCACAATGACCAGAAACACAAAAAGAAATTCAAGCAGTTTTTTGTAAGGAGGCTGTAAGCTATTGGCGAACCAATCAGACCTAAGTTAACGACACATGGATTTCGGAGCGAAATTCATAGATCACTATGACTAAATTACATTTTGGCAACATAGCTGATGTTGATCCGCGATAAAACACCTAATTTCAGTTCCTTATATTATTTTACGGCCTTAGCTTTTAGTCATGATTCCTCATACTAATTTATAACCATATTTTGATCACATTATTTCGTTGAGAATTTTCAATGTCACTTCAGTCATTTACAGAGGCAGTCCAAAAATTATAGACTAGCCTGGATAAAAACTTCGAAACATTTCTAAACTTAGCCTGATCAAAATAGTACTGGTTAGTCCAAACACAAACAACTGTTCTTACCAGGATATTGGGGGGGATATGGTTGCGGGAGACCGTCGAGATCCGGAGACTTTGGATATGGTGGGTCCGCTTTGTCTTAATTCAGTTATATTTTGGTCGAATTTTGTCTTACCAGCACTCATTTTGAAAGACAATGATTGAAAGCAGTTCAACTAGTACACTCTCGCGATAGATGGTACGCTTTTTGAATTTCCAAAAGTCACGTGACCTTCTACTGAATGATTAAAAAATATGGTGAACAATCATTTCAAGTGATTGTGTCAAAAACTGAGCTTCCGAACAATGTTTTTACGGTCTAGAAGTCAAAGGTCACTAGTATCTCAGAAAAGACAGATATGTATTAATATGGTTTTAACAGATCAGTGTAGAGATCGTTAAAAAAAATATAAGTTCTTCTTTCAAAAGATGTTTCTGAGAGATCATTAGGAGAAATACGGCCTAAAATTTGATGGTCAAGTAGAGGTACGCTAATTTTAAGGTCAAATAAGTATTCTAACTGTCATTCAGTCACAACAGAATATCCAAGACAGAATATCCTAGTTTTGGTGTGCGTTGCTCTGATATATACTAGGTCATTTCCGTGATGCTTTTTGTAGCATATATTAAAAACAAATTGTTCCTCATAAGTTGTCTCTGAAATAAAGATGTTGGCTTTTAAATTTCAAAGTTATAGGTCTTTGGGATGATATTTATAATGAAAATATTCCCTAATATCTAGGATCAGTGTAAGAGATCCGTGTTAGTTTTGTTTATGATCCCATACCACGGTATACACGTTAAGTAATTTTTGATGTAGCAGATAAGAATAAATTCACGTCGTGATCCGTTTTTTCGTTTGAAATGCTTACACATAGATACATTGATGCAAGTCAACAGTATTTTATGGGGTCGTTTAATGTAATATTATAGATAAGCTCTCGAATACCCAGTAATAACTCTGAGTCAAACAAAAGCTTATATATTACTTGTTGAGTGTCCTTTTCTTTTGGAAAGTAATCACCTCCATCACTTTTAGCGCTTTTAAAATTTTCTCCTCAGTTCACGCTAACCACTTTGAGCAAATCGAAGAATTTTAACTAAATATGTGTTCTGCTAATTCTTTTTAAGTGTTTGATCTGGCGACAGCGTTATTTCTTGATTTCTTCCTGATCTTTATGTTAAGGATTATATGGTGGTTGGAGGTAGTCAACAGGAAACCCTGGACCCGGGTTTCGTGCTACTTGGCACTCGTAAGCAAGGTGTACCTGTAATCTTGAGGGAACTGGTGCTCCCTGGCGGATTCGATCTCGTGTCACCCAGCTTCACAGTCAGAGACGTTACCACTGAGCTATCCGAGCCGTGACTAACCTCCTGCAGGACTGAGATGTAGTCACACTAATAAGGACTAGACAAGCATGAGATTGATCACCACCCAGTGATCAATCAATTGTGGTTAAGGATTATCCAAGACTCATTTGTTTCTTCATTTCACAATATTTGTCGACCAAACATTCATAACTTGACTATCGTTAAAATTTCTCCGGGGATTTAATTTTCGCTGGACTTGATGTTTCGGTGTTGAGCGGTTTACCATTATCGTTCTCTAGCTATCTGCTGGAAAGGATTATTAGTACACTAGATTTTTGAAGATGGACGTTTAGCCCACTTTTTGTGAATATAAGATAATCGTTTCTAACGTTCGGGTAAAATGAAAGAAACTTGGCCAACTTCGTGTTCATCAGAGGGACGCTAATTTGGCGCCTGGTGCTTTATCAAGTAGTGTTATTATTTTTTCGATGCAACAAAAATACATTAACTTAGAAGACATAATATTATCATGAGTACATACCTATCTCCACTAGAAAATTGATGTCGGTTATTTCTCAGGAAAAATTGTTCTCCTCTGGTTACCCTATTGCATGTAATTTCCAAACTAGTACGAGCTGATCTTTAGTTCGAGTAATCCATAGAACGAGAGTATTTGACTGTGACTATTCTTTACCACACACGCAGCTGGTATTTTTCGTGCCTACAAATATGAATACGAATATGGAGGTGGGATAATGCTTACACTCGTTATCACGGAGGTAAAATCACCCTTTACACAACAATCTCTCAGGGAAGCTTCTTAAGCCTGATCAAAGGCTTGATACGTCTGGATGGTCAATGTACTCCCCCTTCATTTACGCTATTTACACATATAATCACAGCGAAAAGTCGTTTCAAGAGATGGGTGATAGCAAGCTCTAGCCAAAATGTCTCCACACTAAAAATCGCTGAAGTATTTGTTGAGAAATAAACCACTAGTTGAAATCTTCAGTCACTAATCGATTCATATCAATACAGTCGCTTGTTACCTAGTAGCTTATATTTCAGTGCACTACTCCTTTCTGGAGCTGGGAGTTCCTTATTGTAAAAGAGAGATGTACTGACTCTAACTCTCGTCCGCATGCAGTCTGCTGTGTACGTTAATCGATCGATGAGACAAAATAAATAGCCACTCATAATTCGTTAGCTATCACCAACAAACGATGAAATAATTAAAACCAGTTCCCTAAGAAATCATTACTCGTCAAAAGCAAGTTCGAAAATACTTAGTATTAGATTCGCTTTTCCCTTTTGGAGCAAGTTAAAAAGCCCCTAATACCATCAACCTAAGGTATCTACAATGTAACATGGCGTCTGGAAAAAGAATTTTTCATCGGTCAAAGTGAGGGGGAGTTTATCTCTACTGACAGATAGAGACCAGCTTTGAATGATAATCAACAGCATAAGCAAGTTTGTTCCTCTGTCATGAAACTTCAGGCAGAAATCGGCACACTAATAGTCCTGGTCGTATGAACTGTCTCAGGAGAATTGCAAAACAATATGAATGTTTATTTTTTAGTCATTTCACTAGGAAGCAAAGGGGTGGTTCTTTGTAACACAGCTCACATGCATAAATTTACTCATTCTTCTTAACAATATGGTATGTTTCGTTTTAGGTACGAATGCTGAATTCTATGAATTGCTATTACTCACAATCTACACAGATTTTTTAACGATTGCTCAGTAAGACGCGAGTGTTTTTGGTGACTAGTATTTCTTTGTCTTTTGTCAAGGAACACTTTTTCTAAAGCTCTTTTGATAATTTTTGCTAATTTGAACCCTTTGTTTGGTTCCTAAGCTATTCTGGTAACCCGCAAGCTACAACTACGCAGCGACCTGAACACGAGAGAGAAGTCGCAAATTAAGCGAAAAGCACTTTACTCCGAAATTTCATTCCTGTACAGAAAAACAAGGGTATTTATAGACTATTAGCATTTGTCAACTCAACATTATACTTCGACTGATCCGCTAAGAGACATTATGCTACTGACCATTAGTAGAACCACGTTGATATTCTAGAAAGCTTCCTCAAGCTCTGACTGGCTGAAGCTCTTCAGCTCCATTGGGGTCTCTAGAGGCTCCGTTGTAGTTCTCGGAAGCCGACTCAACATCTTTTAAAATTCTTAGTCTAAGCTTGTCAATTGATAAAGTAATATTGAAAAGTGATACTAGAAAGCCAAATATGAATGTTCATGGGAGAGCTCATTTGGGACGCAAACAGGAATCAATTCGTATTTATCACCTAATAGGAATTATGTATAGATGTAGATGAATGAGAGTATTTATATTAGGATTCTGTGTTATTTCCTTGACGCTACAAAAAATATTTAGTTCGCAAACCAACATAGGGCACTTAGTTGAAGCACTGGGTTTAATGCTATGGTGTACGTGACAAAATACCAAATAAAATAAGACCAAGCTAAGGATAACTTATGAACTAATTAATTATCAAAGGTTCAGTAGGATGTTTAAGAGTATATAAAATTAGACCATTACAATACTGTCAGTCAGTAGTGATATTATTATGCTGATTTACTCCTAATAATAGTGAATATATATTTAGTGTGTACAAATGACTTATTAGCAACCATTATGGTGCTCGAAATTTTATGTGAAACGGTAAGACGGTACATAATATAACGTAGTTTTCTAGTAGATACTGGTTACGCTCATCTATAACTTTAGGTCACCTGTGGAAAATTCTCGTCGTTACGTGTCAGTCTTTATCTACGGTGAAAATGTTTAACCACCCTGTCAGCACGAGGATGATATGTTGTTAGAGTCTGGGAGTTAAGCTCAAATCCGAATCGGGTTTCTCCATCAGTTATTATTGTGAAAGATGTGCCCATAAGTATCATGACTAAATCTTTTAATGATTCACCTTTTTGTGTATGGTGCATAGTACGTGGTCCAGTTGGGAGACCTCTTCCATTATTCTATTTTCAATACGGGCTGAATGAGATAAAGTGTCCAAATCGTGAACATCTAAATAGTGGTGAATGTAACATGGAAGAGCTTATATTCATTTTTTAGGGCTACACCACCGACTGTGTTGTCTCCCACTAAGACTTGGAGGTGACGCAAAAGCTGTGATGGTGATTTATCACCTAAAGTTTCAACTTAGAAAAGACTTCGGATTCTTTGACCGTCTGGCAAAGAGAGATGGTTCATTATCTCTCGTCTTAAAATGCTGTATGGTTGTGATGTTGGTGAAATCAAAATTGAGTCGCGTTTTTCTCTGGTGGCTGAAATAGGGAAGATATAGTATCGTTTTCATACAATGTGATAATAAACAGTCTAAATATTTAGTGTACAAATAGAGGACAAAATATAACGACGAGTGTATTCTGACTAAAGAACACTGATATTACGAATTAATATTTTCAACTTTGTTGAGCGAAAATTGTTTGCTTTGTAATTCGAAAGGTATGCGTCGGTGGTGTAAGCGTTAGTTATTGATGATAAGATTACGTTTTCCAATGTATCTGTATGATAAATATAGTTAATCGAAAGGACGTACTAACTAGGAATTCCCGAAACAGAGCAATTTAAATCACATAGAACTAGATGAGCACAGACGAACGTATCGTATCTGGAATTCGTAAGAGCGAAGAAATGTATTGGGAAACTTAATTTAGCATTTAACGGAAACGAGACAGCCATTAAATATTCCCCAGTTAAGAATGCTTCTTTAATAGTTGCCAGTAGATGAAGGAAAACACCTTCGAACAGTACGAATTTCTCCACAAAACTTTAAAGATTGTGTATATTTTGGTTTTCTGGTGATACTCAATTTACAGAAAAATGGTAAATTATTGGAACGCCAAAAAGATATGCAG